AGGAATGCAGACTGTTGGTTGCTTCACACCTACCCCAGCCACCTCCCCCACCAGCTGAAGCCTATGTGAAAATAGCAAAGCTTGATGGTTCAGAGCCAGGCTTGGAGGTCAGGTCCACACACGCTTGGGCCAGGTACTTACACTATCTGTGCTTCCGCTTCCTTACCTATAAAGAAGTAACAAAAGCAGTACCTATCTCCTTAGGGTTGATGTGAGAATTACCGTAAGCTAATCTATAATATGTACCTCCCACACGGTGAGCTTTAGACACGTGTTAGCTGTGATCTTAAGGCAGCTGGGGGAGAGCGGAAGCTTAGGACCATAATGTCCTCCTCAGCACCATCTCCCCCAATCCTCACCATCCCAGGCTTGGAGGTGGAGCTGGGAATCCGGTGGGAGAAGGGAGAGACGCCAGCTTAGAAAGCGGTTGATTGTGGGTTCCTAGAAGGTGAGGACTCCTTCCGTGGCGCCCTGCATACCCAGTGACTATGAACCTGGCCCTGGCACCCGAGGAACAGCGCTAGCTTCCCTTCGGCACCCCACCGGCAGCCCCTCCCCCCCGCCCCCCCCCCCCCCCCCCCCCCCCCCCCCGCCTCCCCGGAGGGCGGGACTGCAGAGGCTTCCGTCAAAGAAGGAAATGGTCCAGGCAGTGTAGAGAAAGCAACCCGGGAAGGGGAATCCGTGCAGTGGCCTGGAGACTGACCCCTCTCCCGGCCCCCAACCCCAGGGCATAGTGGGGCTCACGGGGGAGGCTGGAGATTGAACTGACCAACACGAGCTGAGTCACGGGGCTTGGGGGGGTGGGGCGGTGTGGGGAGCCGCGCGGCCTTGGGGCCCTGGCCAGCGGGTGATGAGGCCCCCTCTCTCAGGCACAGCGGTACCTCAGCCCGGCTGGAGAACCCCGAGTTCATGGGCAAAGGCGGATTTGGCGCTGTCTTCCGGGCACAGCACAGGACTTGCGGTTTGGAAGTGGCGGTGAACATCGTGAACTCGTGAGTGCCCCGAGCCGCTTGGGGGCGGGTGTCTGGTCTGGGAAGCTGGGCGGAGGAGGAGGGGCCGCTGCGTGGCAGGGCCTGAGTGCGGAAGGGAAGGATCTTCCCAGGAGGGAGCTCGGCTCCAACCCGCGCCTGAGTGCCGGCCGGCGATATCCAGGGAGATGAAGGCCATGGCAAGCCTGTGTAACAATCATGTGCTGCCCCTGCTGGGGGTCACAAAGAAACTGGAGTGGGAGTACGTGTCTGGGCCGGCTCTGGTGACTTAATTCATGGAGAACGTTCCCTGGTGGTGCTGCTACAGCCCCAGTGCCCAAGGCTGGGCCGCTCCTCTGCCTCCTGCTGCAGGAGCTGGTGCTCGGGATGTGCTACCTGCACAGCCAGAACCCCATGCTTCCACACCGGGACCTCAAGCCCCCCAACGTCCTATTGGACTCAGAGCTGCATGCCAAGGTCAGCGCATCCATCACGCAGACCAACCCCTGGACGAGGTCCTGCCCCAGAGCTGCTCCAGCCCCACCCACTGGACAGAGGACCTGCTGCAACCCTGTCTTCTGAATACCCTCAGCATCTCCCTCTGGACACAGGGCTGCCCCAGTGTCAAGGCTCATCCAGGAGCTTTAGCCCCTGCCATACCAGGTGATAGAGGCCTTGGCCAACATGGTCAGTTCCATGGGTCCACCCCACGGGGCCCTCCAAAGACCTGTGGCTGACCTAGCCCAGGAGACTCAGACCTTGACCCAGCCCCATGGAGCAGGGACCCAGACCTCCAACCAGGAGCCCCACTGGTCCTACCATTCAGCTAACCCTCCACACCCCCTTTACAAGGCTGGGACCATAATATCTGTGCAGCCACAGAAGGGCCTGCACCTTCTGTGGGGGAGAGGAAAGGATTCTGGAGGCTGCTAGGCCCTGTCCATCTCCTATCTCCTCCTTCTTATCTCCTTTTGCAGCTGGCAGATTTGGACCTGTCCACGTTTCTGGGAGTCTCACAGTCAGGGGCAGGATCTGGGGAGTCAGGGAGCACCCCAGCTTGCTTGGCCCCAGAACTGTTGGCTGATATAAACTGGAAGGCCTCCATGGCCAGTGATGTCTACAGGTAAGGTACTCCAAACATACATCCCCAATTTCTGCACCTCTCTGGGTCCTTCTAAGGGATGGTATATGGAAATGAATCTTGTCAGCAGTTGGCTCAGGCCTCAGCTTTATGTCTCCTGCAGCTTCAGGATCCTAATGTGGGCAGTGCTAGCCAGAAGAGAAGCTGAGAGTAAAACTCTAGGCAGACTCTGGGATCCTTCACCTCAGCTGCCCCCTCCCCTAAACCCCCAACATCCCCAAGCCCTCCTCTTCCTGTTCACCTGCTCAGACGGCCCTACTCCCTCCTCACATCTCCTACACTCCCTGCCCCTTTCCGTGATGGCTCAGGTGGCCTTCATACTCTGAATGCCTTCTCCTCACACCCACACCCCAGTAGTGGACCATAAATCACTGCAGCGGGAAGCAGTGTGTGAGAGGCAGATCCGGCCTGCATTGACTGAGCTGCCCCAGTCTGGCCCTGAGATCCTGGCTTGGAAGTACTGAAGGATTTAATGCAGCACTGCTGGAGCCATGAGCCCCAGAAGAGGCCCTCCTTCCAAGGTGCGCCGGCCGCTTAGCTGGCAGTTGAGGTAGGCCTGGGTCTGTCAGCAGGGGCTTTTCACTGGAAAAGAAGTTTTGCTCACCTGCCACCCACTCTGCCTTCTCTCCAGAATGCTGACCAAACACCCAGAAAGTCCTCGATCTGGTAAAGAAAGGAGGTGTATCTGGTAAAAAGATGAATGCTGCAGTCTGCACAGTGAGTGCCCAACGCCCTCACCCCACCTAGGAGCCGGGCAGGATGGCACAACGTGGCTCCCTTGACCACCCAATGACTCCCCACTGACCACTGTTCTCTAAGCCTTGACTCTTGTCCCCAGTGTCCCCGCCCTATCCCTGAGTTCCCAGGCAACAGATATGAAGCAAGAGACTCCTCCCTTGGGTTTGCTCTGGCTCTCCCACCTCCATGCCCAGCCAGCTCCCCATCCTTGGCAGGTAAAGGAGTTCCTGTCTGAGCACAGGGGCAGCAAGCAGGTTGTTGTCTGTCCTCAAGCCAGGCCCGGAAAGTACAGAAATGGATGGCCCTGGGGGAACCACAGGAAGCCATGATTCCATGGTCTCTGAAATGATGAACCTGAATCTGGAGGGGTACCCCAGGTCTGTTCCTGAAAAATGTACAAACCTTCCTGAGAGCATCAGGGCCCAGAGAAGGCAGGTTCAGCCTGCCTGGACAGCAGAGATCTCTTCAGATTCAACAGCCCAACCTCCTCAAAATCCAGAGACCTTACCTGTCAGAAACCAGAAGCCCAGCCCCACCTCAGCTTGGACCCCAGGTCCTGGACCCCAAGGGTATCAGGTGAGACATTGGTAGGACTAGGGGATGCACTAGGACTCCTGTGAATCCTGTCCCCTTGCTAGGGGAGACTTGGGGCTGAGGGGGTCTGCAGTAGGGGAACAAGGCCCAGGACAGGGGGCCTGAGAGCCCTGTGTTGTTTGCAGGGAACTGAGAGACGTGACACCAACTGGCCTCCCAGGGCGCCAGGGCCAAATCCAGTACCAGGTACCCACTCCCCACTCCTTCCTCCTTCCTTCCCCCTGCTCAATTCTTCCACCAGCTTCTTCCTCAAGACCAAATATAGATCCAGGGTACTTGGGGAGGGGAATGAGAAAGGGCTAGAGGCCACCTAACCCAACTTTCTCATTTTATAAATGAAGAAACTGACATCCACTGGGGTCACACAGCAAAGCCTGGATTTGCCCCTGAGCCTTCTGACTTTCCCCAACACCAGCTCTGTGAACCCCTGAATTCCATTCCATTGTTGCCATGTGTGCCCAGAGGGTTTCCCGTCAGAAAAGACCCAAACATCAGAGTCTCAGATGTTAGTTGCCACTCCTCTTGAGCTTCTGCAAACCCAGTTCTGAAGGTGCAGCCTTCAGAAGAGGAAGGCTGAAGACACACCTTGACCCAGTCACTGGCAGGCCCGGAGACCCCACGCTTGCATTTCCCCAGGGCGAACACGAGGTGCCACTGCCTCTCCACCCTGCCGCTCCTCCTCACTGTGAGTCTGGAGAGCGCTTAACCCTCCCACCGTCCTCACTCTTTCTCTTAAAGGGCCACGGTTTCCTACCATGCTTCACAGCCAAGGGGTACAGGTTGGAAACAACAACCATACGATTATACAAGGAAGAACTGCCTCATCCGTGCAGGGCCTGGCACCTCGGGGCATGGATAGGTGCCCCCAGAACACCCCCCAAGGAATAGGTTCGAAAGCAGGACGGCAAGAACTGGAAGCCTGGAGTGGGCCACAGGGCTGGTATCGTAATAGCAGGAATTGAAACAGCTTCTAAACTGCCTCCTGGACTTGAGGCAGCTAGCCTAGACTTTCTCTGAGGGCCATCAGGCCTGCACCCGAACTGTCTTTGCGGCCCCAGGCGTCAATAAATGTGGTGGAATTTTAACCAAAGCACCACGAATGAGGCTAAAGCTTCAGCCCCTGGGAAGGGACGTGGATGAGAGGCGGGGGAGCTGACATCGAGGGAGTAGAAGGCACTTCCGTGTCTGGCTAGGGCAGGAAGGGGGATGCTGAGGGCTGTAGGTGGGCAGAGTTGTGGCACACAAGGTCAGGGCCCAGCTGGCTGCGGCAGGAAGGAATCCTGGAGGTCTGGCTCCTGGGCAGCTCTAATCTCAGGGCAGAGCACTTCCTGTAGAGCAGGCCCAGACCCCACCCTAAACCAAACCCTGAGGACAGAGGCTGTGGTCTTGCCACCACCTTTTCCCTGGGCTGTGGAGACTTGGCAGTGGAGTCCTGGGGAGGGGCCTCGCCATGGGAATTCGCAGACCCCAGCACATCTTTGCCCTGCATGATGCCCCTAGCCTCTCCTGCGTCAGCCCCCATACTACCACCTCCCTCCGCTGCATACCCATGCACACATTGCTTCTGTGGAGGCACTGGAACCCTTTGATCCTCAGCTGGTGTCTGGGAGTGGACAGCGACGGCTCCACAAAGCTACACGCAGATGTGCCCCTCCCCTGGAGCTGGACGCCACTGGAGTATGGACCACTCAGATAGGCCACAGCGCTGCCATCTAGGCTGGAGGAGCAGGGAATGACCGCCGCCCATCCTGACCTAGAACCTAGCCCCCGTATGGCACCATGTTCTTCCCTGCATCCTTGCCAGCCTTCGCTCCAGTCCACCCTCAGTCTCCCCACATCCAAGGTTCTGAACCCATTTTGACATTTGACACTTGGCTCAGCCCACCCCACCCCTTGCGTCTCCCCCGTGGTGCGCATTCCTCTTCCTTGAGGGGGCAGATGTGGGGAGGCTGTGGAGTTAGGAGAGACAATCAGAGTGGGGGAGGAGGCCTGCGGAATCCGGCTAGGGCACAGGAAGGGCCGGGCTGTCCCACCGGGGAAGTGGGAGGGCGCCGAGGCGCCGGGAGGGAAGTGCCTGTTGCCCGGGGCTCAGAGCTAATAGCCTAACAGCCAGTGTGACTCCGAAACCTGCCCTGGGGTTAGCCTGTTCAGCTGCGGCAGTGAGTTGGGGGAAAGGAGGTAGCCGGGGCTCCTTTGCTTCAACCCTAAATCCTGTGCCCCTGGCTTTTGCTAGAGCACCTCTGCAGTCTGGGTTTGAGGAAGGAGGAGCAAAGCATTGAGCGGTCCCTTCACTGCCAACTGGGAGAAGGCAAGGAGGCCACAGGGAGTGCCTGGGAGGAGGTGGGATAGCGAGGTTGGGAGGTCCGGGCGCAAGTGGCTTGGAGCTGGTGAGAACGGCACAGCTGGGGCTAGCTGGGACCTCAGACAGTAACCCACCCTGGCCCTCCTCAGCCCCAGGGGTCACCCAAGGCGGTGTAGCTCTGGGCAGGGGAGATCATGGCCCGCCTCTTCAGTCCCCGGCCGCCTCCCAGCGAAGACCTCTTCTACGAGACCTACTACAGCCTGAGCCAGCAGTACCCACTGCTGCTACTGCTTCTGGTGATCGTGCTCGTCGGGCTCCTGGCGCTGCTCGCTGTTGCCTGGGCCAGCGGCAGGG